GAGCGGGCTGGGCTGACAGTTGACAGGGGGACCAGCTGGGCAGGGGCCTGGAGGAGGGCAGGCAGGGAAAGGTCAATGACAGGCGGACTCTGTGTGTGCTGCTATGACATGGGGGACATCTCCTGTCCTTGTATGTCTGATCACTATACTAGATCCCCCACCATCAGTCCACTCTGTGTATACACATCGTGTATGTCTGATCACTATACTAGATCCCCCACCGTCAGTCCACTGTGTGTATACACATCGTGTATGTCTGATCACTATACTAGATCCCCCACCGTCAGTCCACTGTGTGTATACACATCGTGTATGTCTGATCACTATACTAGATCCCCCACCGTCAGTCCATTGTGTGTATACACATCGTGTATGTCTGATCACTATACTAGATCCCCCACCGTCAGTCCACTGTGTGTATACACATCGTGTATGTCTGATCACTATACTAGATCCCCCCACCGTCAGTCCACTGTGTGTATACACATCGTGTATGTCTGATCACTATACTAGATCCCCCACCGTCAGTCCACTGTGTGTATACACATCGTGTATGTCTGATCACTATACTAGATCCCCCACCGTCAGTCCATTCTGTGTATACACATCGTGTATGTCTGATCACTGTGTACTAGATCTCCCACCATCAGTCCATTGTGTGTATACACATCGTGTATGTCTGATCACTATACTAGATCCCCCTCCATCAGTCCACTGTGTGTATACACATCGTGTATGTCTGATCACTATACTAGATCCCCCCCACCATCAGTCCACTGTGTGTATACACATCGTGTATGTCTGATCACTATACTAGATCCCTCACCATCAGTCCACTCTGTGTATACACATCGTGTATGTCTGATCACTATACTAGATCCCCCACCGTCAGTCCATTCTGTGTATACACATCGTGTATGTCTGATCACTGTGTACTAGATCTCCCACCATCAGTCCATTGTGTGTATACACATCGTGTATGTCTGATCACTATACTAGATCCCCCTCCATCAGTCCACTGTGTGTATACACATCGTGTATGTCTGATCACTATACTAGATCCCCCCCACCATCAGTCCACTGTGTGTATACACATCGTGTATGTCTGATCACTATACTAGATCCCCCCCACCATCAGTCCACTCTGTGTATACACATCATGTATGTCTGATCACTATACTAGATCCCCCACCGTCAGTCCACTGTGTGTATACACATCGTGTATGTCTGATCACTATACTAGATCCCCCACCGTCAGTCCACTGTGTGTATACACATCGTGTATGTCTGATCACTATACTAGATCCCTCACCATCAGTCCACTCTGTGTATACACATCGTGTATGTCTGATCACTATACTAGATCCCCCACCGTCAGTCCATTCTGTGTATACACATCGTGTATGTCTGATCACTGTGTACTAGATCTCCCACCATCAGTCCATTGTGTGTATACACATCGTGTATGTCTGATCACTATACTAGATCCCCCTCCATCAGTCCACTGTGTGTATACACATCGTGTATGTCTGATCACTATACTAGATCCCCCCCCCACCATCAGTCCACTGTGTGTGTATACACATCGTGTATGTCTGATCACTATACTAGATCCCCCCCACCATCAGTCCACTCTGTGTATACACATCATGTATGTCTGATCACTATACTAGATCCCCCACCGTCAGTCCACTGTGTGTATACACATCGTGTATGTCTGATCACTATACTAGATCCCCCCCCCACCGTCAGTCCACTCTGTGTATACACATCGTGTATCTCTGATCACTGTGTACTAGATCTCCCCACCGTCAGTCCATTGTGTGTATACACATCGTGTATGTCTGATCACTATACTAGATCCCCCACCGTCAGTCTACTCTGTGTATACACATCGTGTATGTCTGATCACTATACTAGATCCCCCACCGTCAGTCTACTGTGTGTATACACATCGTGTATGTCTGATCACTATACTAGATCCCCCCCCCCACCATCAGTCCACTCTGTGTATACACATCGTGTATGTCTGATCACTATACTAGATCCCCCACCGTCAGTCCACTGTGTGTATACAAATCATGTATGTCTGATCACTATACTACTAGATCCCCCCCACCGTCAGTCCACTCTGTGTATACACATCGTGTATGTCTGATCACTATACTAGATCCCCCACCGTCAGTCCACTGTGTGTATACAAATCATGTATGTCTGATCACTATACTAGATCCCCCCACCGTCAGTCCACTCTGTGTATACACATCATGTATGTCTGATCACTATACTAGATCCCCCTACCATCAGTCCACTGTGTGTATACACATCGTGTATGTCTGATCACTATACTAGATCCCCCACCGTCAGTCCACTGTGTGTATACAAATCATGTACGCCTGATCACTGTGTACCCTCATTATCAGTCCACTGTGTGTATATATACACACCGTGTATGTCCAGTCCCCCACCGTCAGTGAACTCTGTGTATATACACACCACGTATATCTGATCACTGTGTACTATACCCCTCACCACCTCTCCACTCTGTATATACATCATGTATGTTTGATCCCTGTGTACTAGCTCCCCCACCATCAGTCCACTCTGTGTATACACACCATGTATGTCTGATCCCCCACTATCAGTCTACTCTTTGTGTATACACACCATGTATGTCTGATCCCTCATTATCAGTTGTACCCCCACCATCAGTCCACTCTGTGCATATCCACACACCATGTATGTCTGATCCCCCATTATCAGTTGTACCCCCACCATCAGTCCACTATGTGTATATCCATCACACCATGTATGTCTGATCCCAGTGTACTGTACCCCTTCACCATCAGTCCACTACACTTTGTATATCTGATCACTGTGTACTATACCCCTCCACCATCAGTCCAGTGTTGTTTATATCCCAGGTTCAGGACACATGCCTTGTTTGTGTTCCCAATATTTACCCCTTGCATTCCTCACATAGTCTGCTCTGTTGATTCCTGGCAGTTAAGTGATCTTGCAGTGTTCTTACCCTCACAGGTGCCTTTTCTATCTGCAAGGACTATTTGATTTATGATAGGGAATAGGGTGCACCTCCTATTTTTGTTTGGAGTAAGGTCCTATGCACTAGTCAATGCATTGCCAAACTCCACAATGCCTTTTGTGCTGTTTCAGTTCACACTAGTGCACTGTCATGGTGTGCACCAAAAATAATAGGATTTGGGGAATCTTTACACATTGTGATGCACTATACTACTTGGCAATGAACATGGTGCAGAAAGTTGAATGAAATGGCATATTGTGATTTTTCAATCTGAAATAAAAGTTAAACAGTGCAATGGATTGGACCCCATTCCTACAATGCATACCAGTAGGCACACTATATAGAGCACAGCATGCGCCCGCTGGTGTGAATGGGTCATAAGGCCTCATTTATGTATGTGCGTGTAAAGTGTTACAAGGATAAAAGAAAATCTTGCTTGTCTTATGTTTGTTATGCTTTTATCAAAACACACGTTATTTAGAGTTCAGTGGTAATGCACCTATAGTGCATGTGAATCAGCCTATAGGCTTTCAGTCTTGCTTCATTCCTGTTGCTATGTGTTTTAAAAGAGCACCCATTTTTTTTTTTATGTTTTTTTATATATATATATATATATATATATATATATATATATATATATATATATATATATATATATGTGTGTGTTACTGTTCAGTGTTTATGGTGTCCCAAGTCTGGGCAATTTAAATTGCGTATATGATAGAAATGCAGAATGTAAGCCTAACTTCAATGAACTACATGTTGAAGTAGAACTTAAGGCTGGGATAATGTACAAGTACAGTATGTAAGAAATAGCTGCCCATTGGAAGACTTGCCTCTAAGGCGCCATTCACACCTGAGCGTTTTGTAGCGCAAAGCTCCAAAATGCTCAGGGGGGAAAAAAATCAACTCTATGCAGATGGTTCACATTCTCCACTCCAAGTCATCCGAAGCTCAAAAAAAAGTTTTGTAGCTTCTTTTGTAGCTCAAATTGGGCAGATTTGCACGTTTTTGGTGTGTTTTTATTCCTATAATAGAAGAGAATAGAAACGTGCGATTGGTGCATTTTCATGCACTTCAATGTGCGTTGTGCGAGATTTTCTGCTCAAATAAAAAAAAAAAAGTAATAATATATGAATAAATAAATGTAAAATAAATACACATATAAATAAAAAATCATGATTATTAAATAACCCTTAACCTTAAAAAATTAAATACATTATTATAAATACCCAGACCAAAAAATACAATAATAATAAATTATTGTTATTTTATTACTGTTTTAGGTTTTAGAGGGTTACTATTGTTTTAGGTTTTAGAGGGTTAAGGTTATGGGTTTATTATTGTATTTTTTTTTGTTCGGGTTTAGATTTTTTAAATTATTATTCATAATAATAATTTGTTTTTTAAGGGTTAGGGATTTATTATTATTTGTTTATTATTACATAGTATTTATTTATGATTATTTTTATTTACTTGTGTATTTATTTTACATTTATTATTAATTTTATTACCCTAACAAAAAATAAATTACAAATACAATGCTAACCCAAACCCTAACCTAACCTTAACTCTAACTTTTACCCTAACAAAATAATAGATTTATAGTAATAAAAAAAGAAATAAAAGCTGAAGCAGAAAAACCTAGCAACACATTATGTAGCTGATGATATTCTCTACTGGCTAAAAAAAAAAAAACACTGTATGAAAACGCACAAAAATCATGGTAAAATATGTGCGAAAAACGCTACTCTCAGATGTGAACGTAGCTGAAGGCGATTAACTGTGTGCCGTGGGCAAGACCATCTTTTTCCAGCACAGGATTGCATAGGTGGTGCATGAATCTATATGACAGCAGTGCCATAGGTGTGTATTGGGGCATGTGGCTCCATGGAGTCAGCCACTGTGTCATAATGTGACATCCATATGGGTGTGTGTCCCCAAACTTGCCATAGGTGAGTTTGAGGCCATGCACCTGCACGAATGTCACATTGGGACACAGTGGCTGTATCCTTGTGTCCCAGTATACATCTATGGGACTGCGAGCATGAAAATGCATGGAACATCTGTGCATCCCTGTGCTGGTAACACATGACCAGGGGCGGACTGACGACTCATGGGGCCCCCGGGCAATATGGGATCATGGGGCCCCTGTGTCCTTGCCCAAACTCAAAAAAGCCTATGAAAAAGGTACCAGGGGCATCTCATGGGGCCCCCTACTGACCCCGGGCCCTGGGTCAGTGCCTGAGTTTCCAAATGGTCAGTCCGCCCCTGTGCATGACTCTGCCTGGGTACACAGCTAATCACCCCATGTGAATGGGTCTTAGTTTGCCCTCCTCCAGTGATGACAGTCTGCACTTTCAGTTGCTGCCATAGACTCCAGTTCAGCTTTGAGGCCCCATTCACACAGCCGATTTGAGCCGCACGCCACCAAGAATTTGTGTAAATCTCTTGGGGGGGGGGGGGGGGGGGGGGCACAGGTACTTGTAATCAACCACAGCCAGCAGCCAAAATAATGGGCAAGCTGTTCCTACAGTGTCTTAAAGTATTCATTTCCCTTGAGATTATTCACATTTTGTCATTTTGTTACAACCAAAAACGTAAATGTATTTGATTGGGATTTTATGTGATAAGACACAAAGTTTCACATAATTGTCAAGTGGAAGGAAAACGATAAATGGTTTTCAAACTTTTTTACAAATATCTGAAAAGAGTGGTGTGCATTTGTATTCAGCCCCTTTTACAGAGTCGATACTTTGTAGTACCACCTTTCACTGCAATTACAGGTGCAAGTCTTTTTGGGGATGTCTCTACCACTTTGCTCATCTAGAGAGTGACATATTAGCCCATTCTTCTTTGCAAAATAGCTCAAGCTCTATCAGATTGGATGGATGGAGTCTTGCCGCAGATACTCAGTTGGATGTAGATCTGGACTTTGACTGGGCTATTCTAACACACAAATATGCTTTGATCTAAACCATTCCATTGTAGCTCTGGCTGTATGTTTAGGGTCGTTGTCCTGCTGGACGGAGAAACCTTCGCCCAAATCTCAAGTCTTTTGCAGACTCTTAACAGGTTTTCTTCTAAGATTGTCCTGTATTTGGCTCCATCCATCCTCCAATCAACTCTGATCAACTTCCCTGTCCCTGCTGAAGAAAAGCATCCCCACAACACTATGCTGCCACCACCATGTTTCACGGTGGGGATGGTGTGTCCAGGGTGATGTGCAGTGTAAGTTTTCCCCCACACATAGCATTTTGCTTTTAGGCCAAAAAGTTCAATTTTGGTCTCATCTGACCAGAGCACCTTTTTTCACATGTTTGCTGTGTCCATACATACATACATACATACATACAGTCTCGCAAACAGGACTTCTTATGACTTCTTTCAACAATGGCTTTCTTCTTGCTACTCTTCCATAAAGTCAGATTTGTGGAGTGCGCAACTAATAGTTGTCCTGTGGACAGATTCTCCCACCTGAGCTGTGTATCTGCAGCTCCTCCAGTTACCATGGGCCTGCTTCTCTGATTAATGCTCTCCTTGCCCGGCCTGTCAGTTTAGGTGGACGGCCATGCCTTGGTAGGTTTGCCATAGTCTTTCCATTTTCAGTTGATGGAGTGAACAGTGCTTCACGAGATGTTCAAAGCTTGGGATATTTTTTTTATAACCTAATCTTGCTTTTAACTTCTGCACACTTTATCCCTTACCTGTCTGGTGTGCTCCTTGGCCTTCATGATGCTGTTTTTTAACTAATGTTCTCTAACCTCTGAGGGCTTCACAGAACAGTTGTATTTATACTGAGATTAAATTACACACAGAAGGACTATTATTTACTAATTAGGTGATTTCTGATGTCAACTGGTTACTCTGATACCCCTAACTAAAATCTAGTGCAAAGGGGAGCTGAATACAAATGCACGTCACACTTTTCAGATATTTATTGGTAAAAAATTATGAAAACCATTTATCATTTTCCTTCCACTTCACAATTATGTGCCACTTTGTGTTGGTCTATCATAAATAATCCCAATAAAATACGTTTACATTTTTGGTTGTAACATGACAAAATGTGGAAAATTTCAAGGGGTATGAATACTTTTTCAAGGCACTGTATGTAACTGTACATCTGAGTAGTTATATGGGGTTAGGGACAGGTGAGCAACCCTAGACACAGACAGTTTTTGTCCAGGCTCACTCAACTGTCCCTAACTGCATGCTCAATCTGCAGACAGCTGTGGAACCTATTTATTTGTGGAGGCTGTTGGCTGCTGCTGATCATAAACACCTGTGAATACCTGCTGCAGACTTGCACTTATGCAGGCCATATCTGGATCGAAATCCCAAAAAAACGTTTGTGTGAATTTTGCACCATTAGTGACACCAGCAGATTACAAAACGCACAGTATTTTTGTGATTTTCTAAATAAAATTAATTCAGAATTGGAACCATGTATGGCCTGCATTATTGTTAGTGGTGTATGGCTTCCCAAATCAGCTGTGTGAAAGAGGCTTAAAGCGTTCCTAAACCCACAACAGTAAAATCAGTCTGTATATGCAGTAAAGCATGCTTCTTATACTCACTGTGGTACCTAAGGGGTTAATCCTCTGCATTGTGTAAAAAGTTTGATCCTGACTTCTGTGATGCTCCCCTTCCAGTGCCCCCCTCTTATCTCTTGATACGTTATATTGTGTGGAGTCATTCTGCACATGCTCAGTTTGGTGTATATTGCTAGAGTTTTTTTTTTTTTTTTTTTTTTTTTTGGGAGAGTGCATGTGATCAGCACAGGGCCAATCAGCACTGTTCAGACATAGGTCAGGGGTTCTGCATCCTCCTAGAGCAAAATGAAAACTTCTCATACAAGCTTGAACCAGTGCTCTGCTGAACACTGATAGAAGTCACAAGACTGCTCTAACTGCTGATGAGAAAAGGTATTTAGCAGTTTATATTTACTAAAATAATTGTACTTACATTCTCTGTGCACTGTGGGAGACCGGATATAGTGAATGCAGGGTCCTGGGTTTAGTAACACTTTAATGCTACTTTCACACTAATCCGTAGCAAAAAACACATATGCATTTTTGCTGTGTTTTTACTGCATTTGCGGTGCATTTTACATAGGACGTGATTAAAAACGCACAGCGGGTGGGTGTTTGATATGTTTTTTTTTCCGCATTTCCATGGAGAAATGCGTTTTTTGGTGGTTTTTTTTTTTTTTTTTTCACCAAAAAAAACCGGCACCAAAAATGCATCAAGCATAATGTTGCTAAATGCAGTGGACACACATTGAATCACGTGTGTCCATAAAATTACACGGTCACACTGTTTTTTGTTTTCACTTTTTTGTTTTTTTTTTTGTTTTAAGCAAAAGTGGAAGAAAAACTGATCCGTGTGAAAGCAGCCTAAAGCTACCTGGAGGGAGATACATTATTTATTTATTTTTTTTACTTTAGGTGTTTTTTTTTCTTTTCTTAATTCTTTATTTAGCAATTTCTGTACAGTTGTCAAGGTAGTACATGCATGAGGAGATTTAATAAAAAAAAACCCATAAGTTTGTATTTAGGTACATTGGATAGAAAAAGTACACACACACATACAAAGTATACATGAAGGAAAATGGCATGATGTTCTTAATTCAACAGAAGTATATTCTAGCAAGGTATTTACATATTTTAGGATAAAATTACGGTAACGGCAAGATATTTAAGGAAAGGGTAATGGGGAATTGCATTGAGGGTATAATTATGGAAAATTCAAGGGCGGGGCACTGAATTTCTATTGAAATTCTGACTTTTCCTGCAAAAGTCAGTCGTGGTCCTGCTCTCTGCTGCCTCCCTGTTGGTCTGTTGATGTGATGGACAAGCTGAGTGACCAGTACGTTTGCTGCAGAGGGGTGGAGCCACATTCATACTGCAGAGCAGGCATCAATAAATGGCAGACCGCAGTCTGGATCCGGACCCAGACACATTTCTTTCCAGACCGCAGCCTCACCAAATAGTTGCCTGCATGTCCTCCCCCCGCCGCCGACTCTCCCGCCTGCCGCTATTATCCTCAAGGAAGTGTACAACATTTGAGGCACAGCATGTCTGCCTCTTTCATAACATCGCAGCCCTCCCCCCTCCCATACTGTCCTACCTTAATAACACAAGGCTGGAAGCATGGCAGGTCTGGACATAGGGCAGGACTTTTCATTATAGGAAGCGAGTGATTGGTTGTGGGTGATTGGCTGCTAGGCAGTGGGGCGGTCAAAGCAATCATCACCCTATGTCCAGACCGGCCGTGCTTGCTGTCTTGTGTGAATAAGGTAGGACAGTGTGGGGAGGGAGGTGAAAGGGACAATAATCCGTAATATGCAAGGAGGACTGTGATGGGGTGGCCTGTGATGGGGGTGGCCTGTGATGGGGTGGCCTGTGATGGGGTGGCCTGCAATGAGGGGCGGGTCTGTGATGAGGGATCTGTACTGAGGGGTCTGTCATGGACGGGATCTGTGATGGGGGGGGGGCGGTCTGTGACGGGATTCAGTGGTGGTGGAGGGGGGGCTGTGATGGGCAGTCTTCGATAGGGTTAGGGGGTCTGTGCTGGGGGCGGTCTGTGATGTAAGAAGGGAGGATTGGGGTGGGGGGGGGAAGAACTGCGACGTGCACGGGAGGCTGGGATTTAAAAGATCGGAGTCCTAGCTCCAACATGACACTTGGACCTCCACTGGAAGAAAATTTTACTGTATGGACCCCCGTGAATTTTAATTCAGTACCCTGCTGTAGAGGATATATTGAGCTGCCTGTTCCCTGGATGACACTTTCACTCATGTTGACCTTTTTCCTTTGTGTTTTTTTTCTTTCCTCATATGCTGTAAACTCCCCAGGGTTACTTGAAGAAATATTTTAGTTACATAAAAGCGATTGTTTTTTTTTTTTTTTTTTTTTTTTTTTTTTTTTTTTTTTTTTTTTTTTTTTTTTTTATTTTTGTTTCTGGTGATTGTTTCCTGATACTTGTTCCTCTAGGGAGAAAACAAAGGTAATATACAGCACGGGCCATGTAATGACAAAAACTTTGAAAGTCCGCCTGTTCATTTGCATTTGTGTACACTAGGACACCTGACAGGTTAGGTAAGAGAGCAATGTACTTTTCTAAGTCATTCTGTGTCTGACAAAGACTGTCAGTCTGCCAGCTTTTATGAGTCAAAGGAACATCAACATGTACACGGGTCTGCAGTGTGCTCAGCAAGGACTGTCATAGCTTACTTTTCACTCTGCTGTACATTCTGTGTCAGTCATAACTGAAACAGCTCAG